ACACACACACACACACACACACACACACACACACACACACACACACAGAGTTTTGTTTCTGATGTAAACGTCTTGCTCCAGATGTTGCAGATGTTTTTCTGATCCGTCTGAACGGAGCTCACGTGTTTTTGTTCAGGTCAGTGTTGGTGCGTCGATGAAGACGGAGCTTACATCCCTGGATCTCTGAGCAGCCGCTCCACCACACTGCCCACCTGTAAGAAACAACCGTTGACCTCTAAACGACCTACAGTTACATTAGAGAAGAGTCGTAAATAAATTAATAAACAAATGAGTAAATAAATAAAACTACATTTGTTGTGTTGTGATGAAGCAGAACTGTAGAAACCAAACCCCGTTTTTATTTTAACAGAACCGTTTAGTCTCCAGGATGAGTAAAGTTGAGTCTCTTGTCCTGCAGGTCCGACTCGCTGTCAGAGAGCTGAGGCTCACTCTCTGCTCTCTGATTGGCTGAAAGGCTCTGACATCAGCACCATCTCGCCGTACCGCCCTCGGTGTGAACCGGTAAGAACACAGAACCAGTCAGGTTCTGGATCAGCAGTTGTCTCTGGAATAAAAAGGCTCCTGAACCCAAGAGATGAGCCAGAGTTGACTTCAGGTGAAGAATAACTGTTTGTTTGTTTGTTTTTCAGGACGGTCGTTTCTCAGTGTTGCAGACTGGTGGCGCTGCAGGCTGGTGTGTGAACCCTCAGACCGGAGAGACCATTCAAACGGCCTCACAGAATGCCGCGGGACAGCTGACATGTACACACACACACACACACCACTGTGCGTGGTGCGTTCACTGTCACACTTCACTCTGTGAATCATGCTGCCTTCAGGTCCCAGTTGGTGTGAGCTTCAGGGTCTTCAGTGTCGTCCTGATGGCTCCTTCGCACCGCTGCAGTGTGATGTCACTTCCTGCTGGTGCGTATCTGAAGATGGACAGGAAGTGGGCGGGACACGAACATCCAGGCAGACAGGGCGCACGCCGTCATGTGACCGTAAGTTTGTCGTAAAGTTGACGTCCTGGTGCAGCTCTGCTCCAGCCTGCTGATTGGTCCATGTGTTTGCCCCTCTCCTCTTCAGGTTCTCTATGTCCCACCCCCTCCATTACCCATGGTGCACTGGTCTGCCGCCCAGCAGCTGAGGGTCGTCAGAGCTGTGACCTCATCTGTAACCGTGGTTACCAGAACTCACTTCCTGTCAGCAGCTTCCTGTGTGAGACTGAGAGCCGTCGATGGGGCGGAGACAACGTGCCGCTGGGCGGAGCCTGTCAGAGTACGACCTTTGACCCGTTTTAAATTTTAGTTCTGTTTTGACCCGGTTGGTCTGGACCTGAGTGTTGTTTGTGTTCAGCCTTGCAGCCTCTGCAGACGGTGTGGTGGTCTCAGCTCTGGCTGCTGCCGTCCTCCTGCTCTCAGATCAGCTCCCTGCAGCCTCTGCTGTTCGACCTGATGACCAGCAGGGGGCTCTGCTCTGCTCAGGTGAGGCTCACCTGGCTGGAAACCCTCAAACCACCCGGTGGCGTTCTTTCTCATTAGTTTGTTTGTGTTTAGTTTTCCTCATCGGGCCGCTCGGCGCCGCTGTGCGACGCCTCGTCTGTGAGTCTACGGTGCGACGGCGACGGTTCTCTGAGGTTAACGCTCCGATGGAGCGCCGCGCTCTCTGACCTCCCGACCTCTGACCTACCCGACCTCCATGATGTCGGTGAGATCAACAAACATTTGTTCTGTCAGTGATGATCAGAGTATTTAATGAAAAATATGTGTAAACAAACGTTTACTTTTTGATCAGTAACAAACTTCTATCAAAGTAATATAAATACTTTGTTTATAAATCTAAACATTTGTTTGAATAATTTACTTTATAAATGCTGTTAAATGTAGTCATTTTAAGAGTTAAAAGATTCAGTCAGACAGGAAGTAAAACCTTTATTCTGAAAGAAGCTGAAGAAGTTTATTTAATTTATAACTAAATAAATTATTTATTTTATTTCTGAATATGTGAATGTGACTGAAATCAGTTTAATCTGTGCTGAACAAATTATTTAAACCAAATAAACTAAATGCTTCTGAGCTTGACTTGACGTTTTGAACCAAACATTTGGTTTTTGAAATGTTTGAGTCTTAATTTGACCTTTTGTTGGTTCCAGCTCTGTTCCTGAACGAGTCCAGACTTCTGGAGGAAGTCCAGGACCTTCTGGGTAACCTCGGCTCTGCTCTGACCTCTGAACCCAAACTGGTTTCTGAGACGACCGCGACCTTTGGCTGTTCCCGTGGCTTCCGCCTGAAGGCTGACAGCTGCAGTGAGTCTGTAAACAAAGAACAGCTGATAAACACAAACATCTGTTTATTCCTGGAGTCTAGGAGCTTTTTATGTCTGAGGTCAAAGGTCAAAACATTCCTCTAAAAGTGGCACAACTCAGCCTCCTGCTGGTGTTAGAGGATGTTAAACGTACTGAGTGAAATAAAAAAAAGTCACTTTTTAACTCAGCAGGTTGTTTTCTTGTTTACAAACTAAACAGTTACAGTAAAGTGCATGAATTAAAGTTCTCCATCGCTGAGAGGGATTTCTGTCATCTGTAAAAATGAGGAGTGGGGAGACAAGTGTTCTGTTGTGGTTCTGGTAAAACCATCCAATCTAATGATGATGCAGGAATTATTAAGCTGATGCTGCTTTAAACCAATAAACAGAAGCAGAGCCACAGTTTGAGCCAATCAGAGCAGAGCAGGGCGGGGCCTGTTGTCTGCTTCACTGTGAGCACTGAGCAGGAGGACACCCCGCTACCCTAAAGCCCCCAGTATACTCCCGCGTACGTATCCTGCAGAGCAGCTTCACAGACAAGGGGCGTTTACCTTCGGGACAAATTGAGGTCGCCGATTGGTCATTTACTGACACGCCTACTGGATTGATTGACAGGTCGGCAAAAAAAATTTAAAAGCGAGCACTGGCAGCCGCAGCGGTGTTCTATGTTTATATGCTGTTAATAAAAAGATCTAAAAAAAACAAAAAAAACAGGGAGCGCTGGCCCTGCAGCCCACACATCAGACCAGCCCACCAGGAAATCTCCAGACCCTCCTGCAGCCACGCTGGACCTGAGTTTAATTAGCTCGTGACAAATTCCTTCATTTCTCACCATTTCAGTCATGGCATCAACGGAGGAGGAAGAGATCACTGCCTCTTGGCAAAAACAAAAGAAAAGGCCAGATCAGGGATGAAGAAGGAATTTAATACATTGGTGTCGCAACAAAACAGTCCGTCGCCGGACAGTTTATTGTGCGACACCGCGTACGCAGTCGTAAAAATTGAGCTTTGCACGGACATGCCCTGGGGGGTACGCTCATACCTCCGCGTGTGGACGTATGCGGGAGTATACTGGGGGCTTAGAACTGAACTAAACATGTTCACACGTGACCCAACTCCCTGCAGCCGGGGACGCCAGAACTGAAACACCCCCACCCCCTCCTCCTGCACCACGCCCCCACCACCCGGGACCCTTGCATCTAAAATCTAACTTATTAAACATTAACGTGTTCAGAGCGTCGTCGTCATACATGAGCAACCTGCGCACGTGACCCAACTCCAGGTTAGAGAGACGTGCGTGGCCGCGGGAGCGCGCAGCCTGTTGAGTTTCTCTCATGGTGAGAGAAGCTGTTTCTGCTGCTTTAGTTCATCTAAATCAATATTAACTTTAAAAGATGAATATTTATATTCCAGTGTTTCCCCTGCCATTGTGCAAGCAGGACGCCTGTCCACAGAATTCAGACAAAACAGGTTTTCTGCTTTAATCCAGAAGTCTGATTGAAGCACAACTTGATTAAAAAAAAGGTCGAGAATCAGAACTTAGAACTCAAATATTGTGATAAAACAGAAGAAGACTTGATGTGAATTTACCCATAATGCACCAGTGTTAACCTGATGGTTCTGTTTTTGTTTACAGTCGTTTGTCCTGCTGGCAGTTTCTCCCAGGAGGGGGTGTGCCTTCTCTGTCCAAAGGGAACCTATCAGGAAGAAGAGGGGCGGGACTTCTGCAACAATTGTTTGAGAGGCTCCTCCCCTCCTGGAGCCTCATCTGTCAATCAATGCGAGTCTTTTTTTATTTATTTATTTTTTCTCCACCACAGGATCAGAAGCTGCTTCAGTTAAATAATCTTTTAACAACTTTTAATAACATTTAATTAAGTTTATGTAATTTGTTCAGGTGACTATTTTCACCAACAGTCTTTAACTTTAATGTGTTTAAAGTTGTTTAAAATAACCTGTCTTTCACCTGTCCGTCCCTCAGGTGAGACAGACTGTCAGAGGCGCGGCCTGCGGTGTTCACAGCAAGGCGACTTCCTGCCAGCGCAGACTGACTTCCTGTCCAACAGGTGGAGCTGTTTCAGCAGAGAGGGGGCGGAGCTTGAGTGGACCACCAGTGAGAAGACTCTAACAGATGTGGAGTGCTCAGGTGAACAGGCAGCAGCCAATCAGAGAGCAGCTCACCCTCACATCGGTCTAAGGTTCTGGTTCTAATCCCGTCATGTCTGGGTTTCAGTTCTGAGCAGGTTCCAGGCGGTTCCTGGATCGGACCTGATCCTCGGAGCTGAAAACACTGAAGTCCTGCAGACGCTGACCTCTGACCTCACAACCTGCGTCCAAGGTAACAAATGTCCACCTCCATCCTCGTGGTTATTGTTCAGAGGGTTCAACCTGGTGCAGTCAGACTGCTGTTGTTTACTCCAGTGTTTGTTGTTGTTTACTCCAGTGTTTGTTGTTGTGTCGCAGCATGCGCAGCAGAGCCGTCCTGCCACCATGTAGCGCTGTTCAACAGACAGTGTGAGCTCTACAGTACGAACACGTTGAACACAGACTGCAGCGCCTCACAGCAGGTACACACACAAACTTTATTATCCCATATAATCCTAATCTGATCTCATTATTTGGCTCCGCCCACTCGGTCTGATAAAATGCTGTAATGAGCTCACCACACCACCAGGTGGTGAGGACGTCCACTTGGTGATGTTTTAAAGTGCAGAGGACGTTCCAACTTTTGTTGTACTTGTTGAGGCGTTTCCAGTTCTTGAGTTAAAAATCGATTCATCTCACGTCAAAGATGAACGAGACAAAAACAGAAAAGCAGCTTCAGTTATTTTAGTTCGTGATCACGGAAATGTGATCGCTTCAGGGGCCGAGATGGGTAGAGGCAGGGCAGCCGACTCGGGACTTGAAAGTCCCAGGTTTGATCCCCAGTCATTGCACATCTCGTGGTGTCTCTGAGCAGCACACCCTAGCTGCTCACTGCTCCACCTGGTGGTGCATGGGTTAAATGCAGAGAGCCAATTTCACCATTGTATGGGAACATGCAATGATGACAATACATAACATTATTATTATTATTATTATTATTATTGTGTTTGAGAAGATTTGAATATTGAGTTCAGGTGGAGCCACTGTGGGCGGGGCCTAAAGAAGACCTTCATTTGATTACTGTAAACCTAATTGTGCTGATGTGTATGGAAAGTTAATATTAGAAATGTTTAAATCTTCTCTGACTCTGCAGACCAGTGGGTTTCTGGGTAATCCTCAGGTCGATTCATTTGATCAGCTGACGTGCTCTCTGAGGGTGAGAGGCGGAGCTTCAGATCTTCTTGTACTTAGGAAGAAAGGTAAATGTTGTTGATAAATGTGGTGAACCCGGTTACCGTAGTAACCTGAGGTTTCCTGCAGCACTGTGCTGTTTTAAGGTGGATCGGACCCACAGGTACAGATGCTTCTGTTTTTTAGGGGCGGAGTTTTCCTTGCAGCGGATGCAGCAGCAGAGTTTTGTGAGGATGGCGATGACGAGGGCGGTTTCAGGTGTGTTCAGGACTCAGGTGTTCTCCTCCAGGCAGACATCTCTGACCGACGCCCACCGCTTCTGTCAGGACGGCTGCAGCCGCGACGCTTGCTGTGACGGGTTCATCCTGAACCAGAACACGGTGAACGGAGGTGCGTTACCATGGAGACGGGAAGATGAATGACAATGAACAGATTTCTGAACGAGTTTTGTCCCGCCCACCTCAGGGTTGCTGCTCTGTGGTTGGCTCAGAGCGCCATCTGTGCTGATGTGTGACGAACAGGACTGGGACGTGATTGGACAAGGACGGGCCAATCGAAGCTGTGGGGCGGGGCTTACTTACAACATAGAGCTGTCGAAATTCGTGTTGGACTTTGGAGGAGAAAAGATTACATTTGGTAAAAAATAAACTATAAAAGACACGAGGTTCTGGTTCTGAAGAGGGCAACAAACGGACTTGTTTGTTTGTTTGTTTGTTTGTTCAGCTGCGTCTGCTGTTCCAAACCTCAAGGACAAAGACTACCAGGACTTCATCACCTTCCACGCCATCTACCTGAACACAGGTACTGCTCAGTCCAATCCTCAGCAGGTAGAAGATCACCTGACCTGTTTGTAATCGGTTCTGGTTGTTTCAGATGCAGCTCCAGCAGCTGGTGGTTCTGGTTCCTGCTCCGGTTCAGAGATTGTTGCTCCTCCAGCTGGTTTGTAGTCAAACTGTTTAAAACCTGATGTTTTTTTGTTTTTTTTCTCACGGTCTCACGGTGAATGTGGGTTTGCAGCTTCGCTTCAGAACAAGTTCCAGTCTCTGTCCAACGAGGACGTCCTCGTGGACCCTCAGAGGAGACCTCCTGTCCTGTCCTTCTGGATCAACAGGAAAAACTACGACTCCCAGCAAGCACTGCAGTGGTGTCTCACACGTACGTTACTGAGGATTTCAAGTGAACTAAAAACGACCTCTAAACACCTGAAGAGTTCCTGGATCCATCCAGGTAAATTCTGCTGCTCGTGTCAGGTCACGTCGGGTCAGGAGGGCCTTCAATGAGACCCAGGACTGGTTTGAGTCCAGACCCCTCTCAATGAGGACCCTGACCATACCTAGAGTTAAGGTTTGTCCTGAGAGGTCTGACTGCGTTCAGATGAGACTAACTCAAGTCTGGACCCCTTTAATCCTCAAACATTGTTAGTCCGTCCAGAACCGAGCAGAACCTCCTACTGAACCGGCGTGACCCAACAGGACCAGAGCTGCTGCCTGAACCGAGGTAAAAAGGAAGAAGTCAGCTCAGGTACCGACTCGTTAAACGGCCGTCTTTGACATCTTGAAGATTTGTTGATTGTTTGGATTTTGTTTATGTTTGACTATGTTTCCATGAGCTGTTGATCAGAACCATCTCAACAAAAAGGTCCATTTTGTCTGGATTTTAGTAACTGGAGTGGACCAGGACAATGCAGAGTTTAATGTTCTGACTGGTTCTGGACCAGCTGCGGTCACCGTCAGCTTTAACAAGGTCCGTCTGGGTTTCAGGTTGTGATGAAGAAGAGCTGTGTTCTGTTGCCGACCTCAGAGACGCAGAACCAGCAGGGTTCTTCAGCTGCTCGCTGTATCCGGACACCGGAGTCTGCGTTCTGAAACCATCCTGCCGGCCGGTGCTGGACCGAGAGCCCAACAGAACCTACAGGAAGACTGGTGAGAGGCTCAGAACCAAACACATTAACAAACTTTCTCATCACATGAACGGATGATGAGGTGGTTCTGTTTGTTGAAACTTGTGTGGTTCTAGTGGACCTGAGCGGACCGGTTCAGGTCTTTTATGAACCGGTCTCCTTCCAGAAGCTGGTTTCTGCTTCCATCAGAAGCTGGACCACCGTGACAGAAAACACCACGCTGTCTGAGGGGTAACACACACACACACACACACACAGTCACACACACACACCTTTACAGTAGATGATGATGATGGTTTTGTGATGATGAAGACGTCTTTGCGTCCAGGTTCACGGCGTGCGAGCGTCTCTGTGACGAGGATCCATGTTGCCGTGGGTTTGGTTTTGTCCGGAACAGCAGAACCTCCGGTAAACACCAGAACTTTTTCCCTGAGCTACTGGGTCAGGATGGAGGTCAGGATGGAGGTCAGGATGGAGGTCAGGATGGAGGTCAGGATGAAGGTCAGGATGGAGGTCAGGATGAAGGTCAGGATGAAGGTCAGGATGGAGGTCAGGATGGAGGTCAGGATGGAGGTCAGGCTGGAGGTCAGGATGTTTTTACGCTAATAAAATAAAAACAAATGAAAACAAGTCAGAGCAGAAAACTGAATAAATTTATTTTATGACTCATTTTATTTATTCAACAAAAAGAGTTAAATCATTAAAAGTGTCTGGAGGAGCATCTTTTAAATCATGTCAACAACTTCAAACACTAAAGTTTACTTCAAGTTCTTCAGTAGATAAAAGTTTGACAGATGAAGCTGCAAGAAGCTCAAACACCTAAAACTGCAGAAAAAAGCATTAATTGGCTAAAAGCTGAAAAAAACGAGCTCAGGACCAAATTTTAGCGTAATTGATCTAAAATTGAATGAGCTGAAGCTGAAAGAACCAAAACGGATCAAAGAAAACTGACATTATACAAATTATGGATCTGGTCAGCTGCTCTCTCAACGCAACTGATCACATTTTCCTGATGAGAAGACACGGTGAAGGAGAGCCCTCCTGCCCCGACGGGTCACTGGCAGCTACACGATGGATTCCTGGGGGCAGTGGAAGATCGAGCGTCTGTCCGTGTCGGTCGAGGATGCAGAAGATGTGTATATAATCTGGATTTATGGAGTTGGTGGTTACCTGCACATCAACAAAGTCATGAAACGTCAGCAGCTGTTGTGGACGTTGTGAAGCTGCCGGCCTGTGTGAGGGATGTGTCGTGCTGTCAACACAGATTCAGATGCTGTGGCCTGAGCCGTACGATGGACTCGATTCTTGCTGAGGATCACAGGCTACTTGCAGCTCCTGAATCTCGCTGGCAGGAAGGACTTGATCTTGGAGAAGTTACAAGCTCGGCTCGGTGGAACTGACCACACATTTGGCTGTTTGGAGTCACCAGTGAGACGTACCAGTGAGACTGGAGTCGGCCTGACCCAAAACAACTGTTCTCTGAACCTGGCTCCCTCATGTCGGCCTTGGAAGGTTGGCCATCTCAAATTCTCCTGGATGTTAAGGTTAATGTTAAAAGGAGCCAAAAACAGCTAAAATGAGCCCAGAAGAAGCTGAAAACCAGAGCAAAATGCTGAAATGAGCACGTTTGATGAACTAAAGTCAAAAAGAGCTCATTAAAGATTAAATGAGCAGAAAAACAGCTGAAGAGTAGCTGAAAGACAAACAGCTGAAGAGTAGCT